TTTAGCAGGTTCTGACCAGATAAGGCAGATTTGTCCTGAGGATATAAACCAATAATTCCAACCTGAATTGAGATCAATGGGCTCACATTGTTCCAACCCACACTGAGCCTTTCTCGCAAGTCGAGACTGCTTTTCTGTGTTATGAGAACGGAGAAGCGAGCTTCTTGCTTGGCAGGGTAATCACATTCTATAGACCCTCATGCCTTAAATCAATTAATTACACAATTTAGTTTAGTTATCTTTCAGAAGCATTAAATACTTATGAATGGTATGAAAGACCCTTCAGTGTATAAAAAGGGAGAACAGTGAGGACGTTTCCCATTACAAAACCCTTTTCACTTATTGTGAGGGTTTTGCTTGTGTTAACTGTTTTCTTCCTTATAAAATACTGCTACAGGAACAATTTTTTATAACTCCATGGATATAATTATCGTACAGTGTATTTAAAATAATATAACAACTTTGGAGTAAAGTAGAAGCATAACACTGTGAAAGAAAAGGTATGATCTGTTAGGAGATGACCCAGGAACAAGTATCTGTGTAAATCACATTGACCTGGAGAGAGCCAAATGTAAGGAAGGACAGAATGCACACCTAACCACACATGCATGTTTGAGTATGTGTGTGGGTACGTAAATACACACACATAGACATGCGTGAATTTTTATGATATTGCTGAAAAGGATGGGAGTATCATTTTCCTTGTGGAATAATGTTTTCTGGGAAAACACAAAAGCAGATGGTCTTCATTAGGAACACCCATTGTCCACATATCCCAACTATGAGCAGATAAATCTCTCCTGTTTCACCCGTACATTCCAAAGGCTGCAAATGATTACAGGATGTCGGTGTAGCTGCTAAACCAAAACCACACTTGGGTTCACATCATTCGCCCATGCCATCCTGGTGTTTCCTCAGGAGATCTGCAAATGCCTGGGAAGACACATCCTCTTTACCCTGCCATTCCTCACTGGCCTGGAGGAACCAAAGGGCAGGGTCCAACTGTTGCAGCCTGGGCAGGCCAGCTGTGGAGGGCACGGGATCAGGGTGGTGTGGCTGCCCACAGGGGTTGGCCGCACACAGTGGGCTGCATGCAGCACTGAGAGCAGGCTCAGCGGGTGTTTCCAGATGGCACAGTCTCTGGCGTCCTGCTTGCTGGCATCTCTGTGGCAAGCAGTACCCACTCCCCAGTAAATCTGGCATTAGTCTATAGAGTTTGGGAGACTTATCATTCCAAGTCTGTCCTACTTTCCTGTCTGGAAGCCAGACATCTGTTTATCCCATTTTCTTTCATACAGAGTTTGGAATAGCTTTAGTGTTTCATGGGGGGGTGGTGATGTGAAGTTTTGTCATATTTAACAGCTGTTACAGAATTTCAACTCTGTGGGCTCTGAACATACTTTTCAGCTGACCTCAGATTTTTATACATAATTGGCATTGGGTTATAGAAAAATATTATTTGCTTAACCTTTCATTGTCTGTAATTTCACATGGTCTTTAGTTCGAAGACCTGAACTACCAGCAGATTTTAACTCTGTGTTCCCCCACCCATCAGCCCTCCAAAGCCTTACTTTGATTCATTTGTGTGGTTTAAGTTTATACCTTTAAAGTGATTGCACAACGTAACCCCAAGACAGATTGGAGACTTTCTTTTTCTTTTTTTCCTTTTCTCTTTTCTTTCTTTTTTTCTCTTCTTTTCTTTTTTCTTTCTTTTTTTTTTTTTTTAGTCAACAGTGTTTCCTTTCACTTCCTGTCACAAAGGTCAAAGAGAGCCGACCTTTGCTGGCAGTCCTGCTCGCTGAATTATTCATGGGATTGACTTTTTGTCAGCACACACAGTTGTGCTCTGGGACATTTTATTCATTTACCTCATTTAAAGCGCCTTTCTGCACCTGTTCAAGTATTAATATCATGTAATTTGGGCCTAATGCCGATTTTGCTGAACACTCATTATATTTTTTATTAGCTATATTTCCAAACGATTATGTATGATTATTACCAAGCCTTACAAACAGCACCGGGTTATTCCCTAGCCCTTTACATCTTCTTGTCAGGTTGTTTTCAGAAGCAGGGAGGATAAACATTTGACCAGTCCCAATGTTTTTATTCCTACTCCATCTCCAAGCAGAGAACTTAAAGCTTCCTCCCTCATGGCTTTGCACGAGCATGATTAAATCCAACTCCGCCGAAGCTGTACAAATGCCAGCATTTATAAGGTCAACGCTTTTGTTAAAAATGCTATGTAAATGAGGATCTGCAAAAAGGGACATTAAATAAAATTAAATTCATTGTCTTCTTTAATGTCATTTACATTTTGGCTAAGCCTTGGCCTGTCAAGGAGGATTTTAAAAATAATTTTAATTACACATCATTTAGGGATCCAGGGTTTTCTATTCAGTAGCATTTGGATAACCTGCAAAACGGAGACTGTTTATTAACTTCTTAAATGACAACTTGTCATTTCATCTGCATAATGCAATGAAAATAGTATAGTTTGCTG